CATACGAAAGAGACGCCATTCACTCAAGTTGGTTCTATCACAGTACCACACATAGTTATAAACATACCGATTAATTTCCATATAGTTCTAAAGTTTGCGTGAATTGGACTATGCATAATTAGTTTGATTACGTTATTGATGCTGAGTGAACTGGATGTATCGATGACAATCTGTTCAACCTTATCAAACGTCTGCGCCATTTGGAGTCTAAGATGCAAGATGTAGAGTTTAAGTGCAGTGTGATAAATGGTATCTTTGCGCATGTGCCCACGCGTGTTTCAGTGTGGATCGTGTGAGTCGTGTTTTAAGTTCATAAAAAGCCGTAATTTGGCCCAAGGTGAGATTGATCTGAGGATAATTTGCTAATCAAAGGAAGATGCGTAAGCCTTAATGAGGAAAAAGGCCGATTCACATCAATATGTTTGCAGCTTGATTGGTCGGGACCTTCCCATCATGACTTTCTTTGTTGCTTTTCAACCATCGTGACTTCAACGAACTATTCGCAAGGAAAACTAGTTTCTTTTCCAAAGGTGGTTGAGCGATCATAATGTCACTGATCTACGAAAGTTCATTTATTTTTTTCTACGCTTCAACATCATCCTCTTCAGCATACCTCAAGATGTGCTTAGAAGAATTAATGGAAAGTACAAAAGTTACAGGCGACTATTTTCTCAAGAAAAAATGAAGGTTAAAAGCACCAGATTTTTTGTTACCTTCAATGTGGGAATAAACCAAATTCATAACACTTATCTTTTTCTGCAAGAAAGAAACAAATTAAAGGATTTAACGATAAACAAATTAAAATAACATTTGCATACAACCCAGATGAATGCAATGTCAATAATACACTACGAATGTTTTGGTATTATTTTTAAGGAATGGAGTTTCGGAGAAGTTCCGGCAGTGAATTCGTTAGCGCTCGACAATGGAACCGTACAAATCCACCCCTACAGCGTTTGCGTTTGTCGGGAAATCGTTCTGAAAGTGTACTGTACAATATGCGACAACGGGGATGTAAGCTGCTATGCGTTTTATTTATTGTGCTTGATCATTTGAGTTTGTACGTGTATTTTGACGTCAATCACTGACCAAGCAACATTCCGAATTCTATTTCAGTTCATCTCATCAAGGATGCACCAAGCACTAGACATAATGTTCAATCTTTTAAATCTCATCCATCCATTTCCATCAAACCATTCAAATATTGTCCCCCGTAACTTGTTTCTTACTGCTATACCAACTTAGGTCGGTCACACAGTCAGACCGTTGAGTTCATCAGCATCAAAGGCAAACAGCATTTTGACCTTCTGTTAAACCATAGTGGAAACCTCGCATGAAGTAAACCATTGTATACACGTCTGACAGACCTCCCCAGGCATCAGAACAGTAGCGGCTGATCGCGCAGCGCATACATTTTCAGGGTTTGTCAATAAACGTATTTAAATTTTGTTAAGATTTGTTAGCATCAAACGAATCTGTAGAGCAGCATAATTGAATATTTGCCGCTTATTACGTCAGATGTTCGATATCAAGAAGTGGCTAAATTACCAATTTATTTTCTTAACATTCAGCAATGTCCAGCGCTGATCGCATCAACTGGAATGAAGCTTCAAGCAATTCATTCACGTCCTATCGAGCTCATTCAAATATCAGCTCACGCATGGGGGGAGGCAGTCCCTTTTACATAGCGAGCCCGCTGACCAGTGGCCTGCCAATCAGCAGACGACATTCAGGGAATTTGCCCGCTCGCGGGACGGTCAGTCAGGTAGGTCAAATTGGCGTACTGTGTGTTACTGGAAAGCGTAATTAGAATACTTTATTCTGAGTTTTACTCCTATCATCCTTACATGAGAATACGCCAATATTCTCTCATTGATTCTTTTCCAGTTCATTTTTCGCCATGCTTCACGATTGGTTCAAAGAATGTTTAATCATTTAAAGGTCTGAAAATGTTGATATTGAAATATTTCATAATCATCCGTGAATCCTTACAATATTTCGGTTTCCACAGCAACCAATTCTATGTTCTTAGTTCTATTCTATCACCATTGTAATTCGCACAACCTTGAGTGTTGTGATAAAATTTGAGGTAGTTCGAAAGTTACAGCTTAGATTTGAAACGTACTTTATGCAAAACATCATGGAAATTCATTTTTTCAAATGAGTGAATCCTGTTTCATAGGAGTGTTTATTTGGTTGAACACATGTATTCGAAATTGCTTAAGTCATTTCATTCATTACACAATAAATAATCCAATTAGTGAAAATATTCTAGCATTTCCTTGTCTTAGAGACAGAGATAAGTTAGCTGCCTCGACAGTGGTCGTCAGTGGTTAGTTTGATCAATATTTATACATGTATGAAAAACGTTTCATTGAGAACACAAATTGGCAAACGAGCTCGTTTTCATTGTTTCTTAATCATGTCATTACATCACAGTAAATAAGAATTGGAATGGGCAGTATATTCATTTCCGTAGCTTTACGTCACTCAGCATGAATCTCATACTTTGTTTGGCTAACATAGGTAGACGAATTCACATGAATAACACGCTGGATAAAGAACTCAGAAATGTGCAGAATATCCAGATTGGATACCCGGAATGCTTGATGAACTCTGTGATACAACGATATGACCAGTGTCCCTAAAGGGTGATTACAGAGAATAAGTCTGAGTACATTTCTTTCCCATTTAAAGGCGACATCTTGGGAGGTTGCGCATAGAAGGTTACCAAATGCTATCAACAAAACGTTCTACGCTGCTATACTTCGAGCTGGACTCTTATCCGGCCAGTTTGTGTATCTATGGCTGAAAGGTAGAGTGCCCGATCCTGCTGCCTCTTTCGGTATTTACTCATTCACTTGCTCCGGTGAAGTAAAGTATGTTAGACGATCGACCATGCGTCTATCCGAGAGCAGCCCACCTCACCCCACCGAAACATTCATCTTCGCTCGGTAACTCACTCAAAAAATACTTTTGTTTGTTCACGGAGAAGTTAGTTCATTCGGACTGGACGGGATTTAGACAGACCCGGTCCAATCGGTGACATCTGACGGCCGAAATACTAATAATTTTGTAGGGTTCCCAGTGGAATGAAATTGGTTGCATTCACTTGATTTACACCGGATTCAGTTGAACTTGAAAAGATAAAGACACGTGCGGTTTCGCATTCTAGCCACAGTGGAGGACTTTTCTATCCTTCTTCACATTACCTTCTGTGTGCTCAGAAACAGTTTGTGCACCCAAGCACCCAAGCTCCCATGGCCGGATTGCCGACAGGTGACCTGTCATAAACTCAAATCAAGTCAAGAAGAGCTTTACGCTCCCAAAGGGTGAATTTTCAGCGGTTTACGATTTTTACAGCGGATAGATGAAACCAATTGCAAACAAAAAAGACCATATAAGATATTATACACTTTAGTAAATGAGAGAAAAATTACTGCAGTAGTTTCTCCCTTAGGTGGATGAGAAAATTCTGACGATTTACTAGTAACCCAGCTAGATATGGAATTGCACTGTTTCGATATGTTGAAGTACGCGCAAAAAGGAGTTGATATTTGGAGCGTGTTCGGGGATTTGAGAGGGCTTTCGCGATATCTTGCTGCAGAGGAAATGATGATTGGGGGCGAATTATAAAACAAACTGTTGAATGCTTTTTGCCTTGTAAATCCTTCTATGTTACTAGTTATATTTATTGTGTTGTAATGGCATAATTAGGACACACCGAAAACGAGCTGTTTGCCAATTTGTGTTCCCTTTGTGAGCACCGTGGGACTGTTTAAAAAATTTGAATCACGAATTATTTATGTCGGATGATAGTTAATTCATATACATGTTGTTTTGAACGGGTTAGCCTGAACTTTGATCAGGTTTATATATATTTGTGGTGCGAGTATTCGCTAAAGCAATTATTTGAAAAGAAAGCTTACAGCTATTGTTTCTTTATTTCATCCATAAAATTAACTGATTTTTTTCAGTTCCTCTGCAGACACGATGTCCATAAGTTCTGGAAATGTGTGGGAGAACAATCCTCTATTTTTCGGCAAATCCTCAACATGCAACAGGAAATGTTCACAAGATGTTTTGGAAGTTAACATAGGCTGACTAAGATGAAAACTCTAGATAGTAGGCTAAAGCCTTAAGTGTTTGTTCGCATATTATTCCACGTCCTTAAGAAAGTCTGATGGACATTTCAGCCTTCAACTGTCTTCTTACAGATAGTGTTTCCCTGTCACATTTTAGAATTGAAACATGGGTTTGCACAATGCATTCATGATCAGCACGCATCATGCTCATAAACCCAAACCATACACACAACAAGAAGAATTGATCGAAGTATCTTTGCCTGAATGATTAGCCCCCACACTGTTTCGTTTTTTGTATTTTTATGTCATGCTGTTCGCCGTAATTCACAATCTGATCATCTTTTTGTGGTTGTGTTGGGACTACAAGAATCACCTTCATAGGCACATATACACATACAATCAGATGATCATGGATAAAATGTACAAACCCATATTTGTGAATTCTCAATACAAATTCTTACTGATAGATAAAACGTTTTATCCCCGAAAATTCCAGAAGTGTTTTGTTTCAAAAGTGACAGATGAAAACATCTGTGAAATGTAGCATCCACCAACTCCAGTAGTATTCAAACAACATTTCTGTACTGATGAGTATAGTTATAGTTACCAAACAGGCTCCTCATTACATGAAAGCGAGACATTCCTGAGGTTTATCTGTATCAACTTAACAGCGTGAAAAACATGCTCTCAGGTTCTTCCGTTCCCTACACGGTGAAGAGAGAACTTAATAATTGTTACCTTTTTTGGTGGAAAAATTCTAAGGACTACAGTGTCGTCGTTAAAATCTTCATTGATCAAACGGGGGAAACAATGAAAGGGAAAGAATATTCACGGTCATGGGAAACACCAGTGAAACGTTCAGGCATAAAAACGAACCCAACTATTTATCAAAGCATATGCAGCAGAGTTAAATCATACTGACTGGGAATAATCTCTTCACATTTCACGTGACAAGGAACCATTGGGGTCATTGAACGTTCCGCAACCGAACGGCAGATTACTGGATCCAAGGCGGCATAGCTACGGCTGTTCGACCACCGCATCGGCCAATTCTCTACTCACAGTGAATGTGTGTGAAGGCCCGTTTGTAACTCCAATGAACACAAGACTGTCCATACAACGAAACTCCACTCACAGTGTACACCAAGCTCTCAATCACCAAGTAAGTTGATGCTCATTTTTGACGCTCGAACACTTTTGCATGGATCACGTGCTTTTGTGTCATGCAACTTGCATGAGTTCAGATTGCCTATGCTTGATGTGAACACCCTGAGAAGAAGAGAAAAAGGGCGACTAAATTGGAATAACAAAAAAGACTTAGTTTGCTTCGTGTGATTGACAAAAGAGCCTTATAGAGTTTGTAACCTTTTAGCTCACAAAAATTAAAATTGCGTGCCTTATTCTTTTCGATGCACCCCATGCAATGATAGCAAATATTTTGAGGCAAACGTTTGCGATATCCGAAAGTGGTATGCTTTTTAAACGGTGTAATGTCACTTTGTGTGTGCCTTGGAACAATGCGAACTTTGGGCAGGAGTACGATTGTTGGATGGACACTGCAACAAAAGCAATCCCACTGACATTTCGTTGCTTTTATAACATGGTTAATGCAAAATGTTTATTGAATCAGATAATAATGCAATAATAATACAATTCCTATAAATTTTGTTAATAAAAGAACGTTTATTCATTTAAGTGTTAACTACCACTAATAACTTTGGTGATTGTTATCCGGATTCAACTCACAGTATAATGATACTGACCATCAAAAAGCGTAATATAGTGAACCGAACTTTGCTGACCGCTGCTAAACTGATAACACATACAGAGTAAAGGAGAATGTGTAAGAAGGATAGGGACGGGAAAAGAAAGCGATCCCATATGGTCAATGCACAGTGCAAACAGTCCAACTCTGCATACACACTGTTTCAAGCAGTCTAGACTGACTATATGTGACACCAAGATCGCCACACTGTCCGTTTACAAATAAACCTCCGAATATAAGAGAAAACAAAGAAGAGAATAACTGCATTTTTGTAGATTCATCCTCTGGCTTTTAAATCACAGTTTATATCACAATGTTTAATGTGAAAACGTCCATTGAAGAAAGATACGGCGAAAAAATTTAAAAAAACCATTGCAATTCAACTACCGATTAGGCTTACATTTCGGTCGTTGGGCACATTTCTGCTATTCTTTCGAGGACATATTCTACAACTTCCGTTTTTAGTGAAGCGTCCAGAAAGGAGTTTCAGATTCAGTCACTTAGAAAACAAATCAAATGACGTTTCACTGATATGCTCACGGATAAATGATGAACCATGGGTTCAGAAATTGACAGATTTTCTTAACTATTTACGCATGTTTTTTTAGTTTGGCTCAGAAATTGTTTCAGCTGAATGAGTGCATGTCCGTACAGTAGCTGGATGAATGTGTTTATATTGTGGATTCATTTTGTATAAGTTGCTTTGATTTGTCGAGTTCAAACCATATTTTAGAAAAAGCTTTCTGGTAAGGTATTGTGAAAAAATTGGTCAGTCAAAAATTGAATTGTATTAGCAGCGGTTTTACCCGTGACTGTCCTATCGTGTATGCTAAGCAGCTCAACATGGAAATACACCATGATATAAGCACGCTATATTTTACAAAGGTTTCTTCAAGCATACTGAAAGATTTCACTAAAGATTAAGAAACTCACAAAATGTACAAGGTTACGGTAGCGCCCGAAGAGTGAGTACATCATGTAATATCCAATAGCACTCAAAGGTACGTCGACGTCGTTCACATATTTTCACATGACAAGCATGGTATATCAAAGTACGTCTATCGGTACAAGATCCTCAATAAACCTTTCTCCTGCGAAAGTCGACACTGAGAAATTCGGATATCTCCTTTCACATGGAGATCATAGCATATTTTGGATATTTGGATGCACAATTTCGTAATTTATGCTTGAGAAATTGGTACTGGTTTTGTGTCATCAGGTCTTGCTAGAAGCAATTACAATTCATCCGTTCAATTTAATACGAGAGATGATGAGAAAAGCCTTACGAAAACCCTCAATGTTTCATGTCTGAATTTATAAGATTGTAATACGAGGAAGTATATTAATTGTTCGTAATTGTAATTTAACGGCACAGTAGGGTTGTTATCAACTCTTGCGTCTATCAGAACACTCAAGCGTAAAACATTTATCTTCCTTCTTTCTGTAAATAGGCTGGCGATCTGCCTGGTGCAGATACCATAAGACGTTCCAGTTTAAATGTGATTAGCGATCTTTTGGTAAGCCCCCAGCTCTCTCTCAGTTTTCGCGGCTGCATTGTCTCATTTCCTGTTTAGAAGTTCAGTTTTTCTTTCCATACGTATTTTTTCCTTCCCATTCATCCATTTGTACGTGTATGCACATCCGAGTGATTACTGCATTATGACCGTATAGCAACGGATAGATATTCGTGTCCGCACACATGCATATAGTTGGGTAGTAATCGACGTCTTACTAATTACCCCCTTCTCTCACAGTTATCGTTGTCGTTTTAATTTTTCATTACTTCCGCTTCTTCGTGGTTGCTTAGTAATTCTTCATGCAATATGACATCTATTTTTACCTCCGAACACACAAACACCCATAACTGCAGAAAATTCGCATTCTATTTATTACCTCTTAGAGTGTTCTACGTGTTATCACAAAACGTATTGGTGTAGATGAATGTAAAGCTGTTTTTTATTGCACACGCATATACATGGCGGCATCTATATATATGCTTATCTCTATAGAGAGCACTACATCAGTAGTATGCACTGCATATAATTCAACGGTTTGCATGAATCCGTTGGGCGTAATCCCCAATCAAAAAAAAATCTCCATCGTTTTTGTTTTTCGTCTTTTCTCTTTTCAGTCAGCAACAATCAGGCGCGTCATTTGACCACTGCACGGACCGGGATTGACCTCTCACCATGTCCTTCTTGTTGAAACAAACAGACCTTATAGTTCTGTCCACATTGATAACCACAGCTATGTACAAAGATGGGGCAATTTGTAGAATTCCAGGCCCGACCAATCCATCCTATCATTGATTTGACCCACTTGATACAGACCGAGAAACGTTTACTATGAACCTTCACTCATTCACAATGCTCATTCATTGCACACTGATATATATCTTATTTCAAACAACATATATCGAACAGTGTTTGGGGCGCTTGCGTTGACCGATAAGCTTTTTGAACGTGTATAAACGGGGAAGAAAACTCTGTCGTTATATGCCCGCTTGAAATGCAGTCATTACTCGGGAAGTAATGCAAAAGCACGAATATACTTGCGATATTTTTGAGGAAAATTATCAGAAAAATCAAATAGTTCCTTGGTGCTTATTTTGAAACATCGTCTACCTACACCCCCGACAGATCAAACAGGATCTAAATCTGTATTTCCTGCGGAGACAAACTAGAAGCCTGTCTAATTTTCATAAACCAGAATATTCCTGTTTGGTTACTTAATTTCATGACCTTTTGTGAATTATGCAATGATATGTTTTTTGACTTCATTTTGTG